TCACAATTTTGGAAGAGGTGCCCTTTCTCTTCGTAACTATGTACATTGTATATAGTTTGTTTAACTAACATCAAGTGGCAAAGATGAAAATTTTCAGAACATTTATTTTCAGTATATAATAAATAAGCCCCCCCCCCCCCCGCACATCGATCCCCTGATCCAGAGGCCATGAAATTCACATATTGGGAAGAAACACACATTTTCATCACATATGTACTTAGTTCATCAGCTTATTATCCAGGCCCAGAGGAGATTTTCAAAGCATTAATTAAGGACCCTCTCTACACCAGTGCAAAATTTTTTTTGGACTTTGAGATAATTAAATTAAATAAAGGTTTAAATATTTAGCTTATCTACTTAATTTTCAATACATGGTAGGTGGCATTTACCCCAGGAAAAAGACTCAAACACAACACAGTATGAGTGAACAGAAATCAGTGTTATTTACTTCCGTGGAGAAAAATACATGTAAATGACGTTTAATTAATTTATCTTGGCCTTTTAAAATGTTAAATATACTTGAATTGATTATAAATTGAGTAATATACTGTAAATTTCTATATTTTAGAATTTATTTCTAAGGGCAGATCACTCTAAATGTAGAAAAACACCATAGAATCAGAACTCTTTAGTGTGCAGTGTAGAGAGGGTCCTAAATTTATTTGGTATATAATAACAAACAATATACGGTGACAGATGAAAACAGATAGCAATAGATCACCTGAGTAACTCAGGTGACCTTACAACCTGATGATTCAAGTTATGATGCCAAAATGCAAGAGAGATAGGATGATCAAGAATCAGCAAAAGAAAAAGTTAAGTACCAAGTGGTAAATCATAGTTGATCTACTTTTTGAACAATTTAGAACCTAAACTACCCCAGGATGCTTCCTCATAAGTTTTAGCTTTTCTGGCCCAGTGGTTCTTGAGAAGAAGATTTTATCAATATATTCCAATGTAAAATATGATTACCAATTGTGGCCCTGCCCTACCCCTGGGAGTCATGATTTCAACAATTTAGAATCTACACTACCCCAGGATGCTTCCACGTAAGTTTCAGTTTTTTTGGACGAGTGGTTCTTGGGAAGTCTTTTTAAACACCCCACCATATTTTTGTCTTGTCTTGATTATCTCCCTTTGTAAAAGGACTTGGCCCTTCAATTTTAATAATTTGAACTACCTTTCACCCAAGGATGCTTTGTACCAAGTTTGGTTAATACTGGCCCAGATGTTCTTGAAGAGAAGTTGAAAATGTAAAAAGTTTATAGTCAGACAGATGATGGAAAATGGGTTTTTCGGAAAAATAAAATAAAATTAAAACTAACAGAGCTAGACAGATGGACACTGTGGCTATACTTATCCTTGCAGTACCTTAAAGAGATATTTCTTCTCATTTTTCTAATATTTTAAAATTAAATATTGTCTATAAAACAATTGACTCAGCTTTATAAGAAAAGAATTTTACAAATTAAAATTGCCATTTTTTTCACTGAAAACTAGGGATTAATTCTACAAACTTAGATAACTTGTCTGGTATTGCACACCTTAATTTTGATGTGGTTTTGGCCAAACCACTTAGGTCATAGCAAGGCTACTGAATTACTGAAAGGAAAAAAAATGCAGGGTAAACTCAGAAGGTGAAATAATATTATTTATTCCTTCTGTATTTTTCCTATTTAACATTTCAAATCATCTTTAATGAAAATGTTTTAAAAATCCCATTTGATTATGCATGCCAAAAAAATAAGGCAAATGGTCCACATGCTCCAGTGAGAGGAACACCAACATAAAGCTGACCAGCTCAAATATCCAAATTGGGCGCAATCAGTTTCTTTCAGTTTTATGGTGAATGTAATGATTTTGATAGCCTACTCTATCAAAGCAGTTCTGTGATAGAATTAAGGTGGCAATTATTAAACAGGTGGCAGGATGAAAGACATGATCTTGGCACGGCTCTGTAACGTGTCAACATCATCTTCACAGTTGATTGGAAACCATTCGAGGGCCCTCTATGACAATGGTTAAGACATTCTATTGGAGAAAATTTACATGCACTAGCCACTGCACAGCAACCAGTTGTTGCCCTTTTCCTCACTTAGACTACTTAAAAGCCAAACCCAATGGAACATCTGTCAATTGTTACAAGACTGCAAGAAATGCATATCTTCTATACTGAAAAACAATGTGTATACCTCAAGTGCATCAAATGGTACAAAAAGATTGTTGACAAACTTGTCATCATCAAGTACATGTTTTTGGCTTTTAAGCATATTCCCTATCAGACATCATCCATTTCAAGGTTGAGTAATTTTGAACATTGACTTTAGTACATAGTAACCAAAATTCTCATCTGACGGGTTTTCAGATGTTTTGGTCATGCGGTCAAAAATATTTTGCATATTATGTTACCCTGCATTTCTTTTTCCTTTCAGTATATTATTGTAAGTCTATGATAACTAGAACTGTCCAAACTGGACAAAATACCCCCCGCTGGGTTTTTCAGAGATAAGTTTTTCCATAATAAAGATATGTATCAAACATGAATCATACAATTTTTCTTTCAGTGACCTTGAACTTGCACAGATGACCTTGGGTCAACGTCATGACACACACATAGGTCATGAGGTATCTTTGTGTGAAATGAAAACCTACCAAGTTTATCCATAAGAAAGAAATGGACCGGACACGATTTATGAAATTTTTCTTCCAGTGACCTTGAACTTCCTCAGATGACCTTGGGTCAAGGTCATGACACACCCTTGGGTCATGGGCAATCTTTGTGTGAAATGAGAACCTACCAAGTTTATTCATAAGAAAGATATGGACCGGACACGAATAATGAAATTTTTCTTCCAGTGACCTTGAACTTCCCCAAATGACCTTGGGTCAAGGTCATGACACACCCTTGGGTTATGGGCAATCTTTGTGTGAAACTAGAAAACTGACCAGTCAGCAAGGGCCCCACCATGGGATGGAATTATAAGGATGCAGCTTATGGAATGACTAAAAAATATATGAAGAAATAAGCAACAGCAACTGTATTCTTAAAATTTTCAACATAATTCCTGAATATCCAAAAACCTGTAAATAATATCCTTGTATATTTACATTAGGCACTGGCAGTAAAGAACAACCTAACATTGAATGTATATACAAACAATAATGAAGTTTGTGTTTGTGTTATATAAAATGCCAGTCTTCAATGAATGCAAATACATGTATCATGAAGGCTTGACCTTAACTTCAAAACAAACAGCAGTTGCAGACAAAGTTTTTCATTAATCTTAAAATGACGGATAAAGATAGGCCTACTAAATTTTCTTCAGCAGGCTAGATAATTAATCCCGAGGGATTAATTGTACCTCTCTCATCATTTTCTTCTAAAGTTACAATAAGAACTTTTTCAGTATTAATATTAGAATGGCTTAATCCAACTACCTTAAAAATTAATATTATTCTTGAATTTACATAAAGGGAAAAAAGTAAAAATAAAAGATATGTCTTCTTTAATCTATTTCTTGTTTTTAGAATTCAATGAAATCATAACTCATTGTGTAGGTATTTTAACCAAAATAAAGTATAAACATTTATATCTAAATCCACATTTCAGAGTGTTCATAGCATTCCAAATTGACTGAACTTCAAAACAAACTTCATTTGCAGACAGAGGTGGTAATTAATCTCAATGTGACAGATAAAGATAATGCTTTGGATTTTCTTCAGGAGGAAAGCTAATTAATCCCAAGGGACTCATAGCAGCATTCAGTTTACAATGGAAACATCTTCAGCAGTTATCTCTCTTTGCTAAAGCATTCTTATATAAAGTTAAGGAATATACCCCACCACCCCAGCTCCAAACCAAGGGTCATAGAGAAACAAACTTAGCATTAAAATATGTCTTTCTGCCTATTGAACTACCATACCAAATTTGATCTTAATTGGGCAACCATAAAAAAAGTTATTAGGAAAAAACAGGAAATTTGTGGACGGAAGAAAGACAGACGGACAGACGGACAGACAGAGTGATTACTATAGGGCACCCGCAAATCCTTGCGGGGCCCTAATGAGAACCTACCAAGTTTATCCATAAGAAAGATATGGACCGGACACGAATAATGAAATTTTTCTTCGTGACCTTGAACTTCCCCAAATGACCTTGGGTCAAGGTCATGACACACCCTTGGGTTATGGGCAATCTTTGTGTGAAATGAGAACCTACCAAGTTTATCCATAAGAAAGATATGAACCGGACACGAATTATGAAATTTTTCTACCAGTGACCTTGAACTTCCCCAAATGACCTTGGGTCAAGATCATGACACACCCTTAGGTCATGGGCAATCTTTGTGTGAAATGAGAACCTACCAAGTTTATCCATAAGAAAGAAATGGATCAGACACGCATTATGAAATTTTTCTTTCAGTGACCTTGAACTTCCCCAAATGACCTTGGGTCAAGGTCATGACACACCCTTGGATCATTGGCAATCTTTGTGTGGAGTAGTAGATTCTAATGTTCCTCCGTAAGAAAGATATAGACCGGACACGTTTGCACAGACAGACAGACGGACAGACGGACAAGGTGATTCCTATATACCCCCCAAACTTTGTTTGCGTGGGGGATAATAACATTTTCTGTTTACCTTTACCCAAATCTACTATATTATTGACCGAAGTTGTTTCAGGACTTTAGAAAAGAAGCTAAAAATGCACAAAGGTACATGCACTAAATAAATCACAAGACAGTGGATTGTAATGTCCCGCAAGTTACCTAATAGATCAAAATGACCATTGTTGCCAATTTACATCACAATCCAATTTATAATTGTTTGCATATCAGCAAATAAGAATATGTCTAAACTGAACCAAAGTCTGGAATTCTACAGAATAAATATGGCATATGAACAGCAGTCTTCTCTTTATGCCGTTGCAACCCCAATTCTCTTCAAAATGTTTCTCCGAGATCAATATCAGAACTAGGTAATAGAACGCACAACAATACTCTCTACCAGATCTGTTTATAAGACAACAATAAAACACTTTGTACACTTACACAATCTCAACAAACAATTTATCTTGAAAAAAGTTTCCTTTTAGCACCCACTTTCTTACTGTCTTAATATCAGCTCACATAAAGTTCTCGCATCTCTCTTGAATCTGACTTTTTCTCCTCCTTTTATTGAAAAGTTCTCATCCTTTTCTTCAAGCTATCTTCATTTTATGTTCTTGATCAGTCCACAACAATTCACACTTTGCTCACTAACACTGTTCACTACTTCTCACAATTCTTTTCTAAATTTCTCACAGGAGAATTTTTTTAAAATCTAAATATATGTTAACTTTGGTTAAATTTTCCTTCCCAACTTATATTTCAATGATTTACCCCTTATTTTAAAATTTGCATGTCTATAAATTCTTCTTAAATGACTTTTCTTTTCAGTTCACATTTTATTTACAGCTTAGCTCCACCCACTTGCCCCTCCCCTTCCACCCCAACCACTGTACCCACCTCCTTGACTACTGGGTTGAGAATCATAAGCCCACCCACTGTAGCTCTGTCCCCCACTATCAGGGCGACTAGAGCCACGGTAACTCTGGGTCATAGCTTGGTCCTGACTACCTGCTGGCTGTTGGTTTGTCCCCATTCCCGGCCAACCACCCTGTCCAGTCAGCACAGCTTGTGCTGCTGCTAACATGGCAGTGTTTAGGAAATTCATACCCATATTTTGATCCATGGCTGTTTCATTTCTGATTGACTGAGTATTGTCCCCCCTCCGTTTAAGTCGATCATAATCACCCCTATCCCGTTCCCTCCTTCCATCTCTATCACGACCACCTTGACGCTGGTCATCGTACTTCCCAAGTGATTTGGGTGTGGCACTGCTGACATGAACGCTTGTTCCTTTGATAATGTGATCTTCTCCACAAAGACTCTGTGCTACTTCTGGATCCATAAATGTTACGAAAGCAAAGGCTCGAAATGGTTTAGGTATAAACACATCAGACACTTCACCAAATTTACTGAAGTATTTGTGAAGATCATCAGTGGTAATGTCTTCAGAACAACGTGCTATAAATACCTTTCTGTTCATTGGTGGTCCACTCTGTTCCTGGTAGTAAAAATAAGAAGACAAATGTATACAATTGAGTGTGAACAAGTATCAGTTACTCTAGTACACATCAATTATTAAAACCGATACAGGATTACTTGGGGGAAAATAAAACCAAACAATATTTTTATTGCAATTATTATTATTCTTATTATTTTTCTTCCTGGGAAAAGGAGATGGGTGAACTTAACGTGCAAAAAACCCACAAGCTTCAGATAAATAAAATCATATTCAAATTGTGATTTTATAGTGTTTAGAGTAAAGTTCTCATCACTGATTTTTGTAAAATCATGATAAAAAGTTTTGAGGAAAATTTTTCGTTAAAATTTATTCTTTTATAAAGAAAAAAAATGTGGTATCCATTGGGTTCGAACCCTGGCAATAAAAATCCTGAGTTGCATTCTCTAATGAGACTAGCACGCTAACCACTGCGCTACACAAGTCCTGATGAAGTGTGGCATTTAAATCATGTTTGTGATATAACCATTGACTTAAGGGACTTCAAGTAACAAAGATAAAAGTTATGCCATAAACATATTTTTAAGATAGTGGGTCACTCCATAATTCTGGAAATATGTATGTTTTTATGCCAACTTTGAGGGTTACCTTTAAAAAAAATGGAGAGAAGACCCACTCATAACGAAAAATAGTGTTATAGTGTGAAAAAAATGACTCGTTTTGTCCTCTTTCGTGTGTGTATAATATTTCATAGGCAAATAACTTCAATTTTCATGAGATTTGTGCAAGTTGTATATATATACTCTAAAATGAAAAATTGAAATTTTATAAAATTGAAAAAGTTTGTCGTATGGGCTTATCTCTCGTCATACCCATCTCCTTTTGTCATTAAACTACACATCAGAAAAAAATGTTTATAGGGTCAGTGACATGTAATGTAGATTTGCGGAATCAGCAACGTGCTTGCCGCCACCCAGGACCGATTTAATTGATATAGATGTAACTTTTTAAATTTTTGATGAAATGCTTTACATAATATAAGGATATATTAGTAGCATAGACTATAGCATGGTCAAAATAGCAAGATCTCAATGCATGCACTTCGCTACAAAAAGTCAATATCTTTCTTGTTTTTCGACACATAGCCATGGATTAGGATATCCTACAATATATATAGCAATTATCATGAAAACACGTATATTTGGCTTAAACTTTAAATAGCTATAACTCATTTGGTTTTCAACCGATAATTTCATGATCTACAGAATCCAAAAACATGGATACACGTGTACATGCGCTGCAATCTGATTGGCTTTTAAACAGCTATAACTCCCTTGGTTTTCAACAAACAGGATGGCATAGATTGATAAAATGGACTACACAAAGGTATGGTCACCATGCACATGCAACACGTGAATTGTATATGCGCTATATTTAAACTTTAAAAACGCCCTTTTTTCAACCATACGGGGTGGGATTTAGCATGTGTTTAATGGACTTCTACAAGAAGGTATGGCCACCGTGCTCATGTATGCACGTGCGTGCACGTGAAATGAATAAAATAAATCAAAAGCCTGAAAGGCTTCACCTTAACTCAATTTCAAAAAATCTGCAAATAGGTCAAGTGCTCCAGTAACATAATAATAAAATAAAATAAAATAGACTTAACATAAATACAGTTGTGGTAGCCTTATAAATAGAGATACATCGTCAGAAAGTCCATCCTCTATATTTTTCTGCAGCAGGCATAGATTTCAATTAATTTAATTCATTGCCATTGTCAGTGTTGATTAATTTATAGTCTCTCTCTATAACCATGATCCTGTCTTCTATATTTAAACAAATGGAGGAAATGGATAAATACAGTAATACTGGCATTACTAACACTAGGTTGTTCGGCTAAAATTGCTGATTACAATCATGCCAACAGTTTGATAGCTCGATGTCCAGGAATAAAGAAGAAGATTTTTAAAGATTGCATTAATTTTAGTGGTTTTGGCCCCAACGCTTAGGCCCCAGGGGGCAGGGATCATAAAATTCATAATTTTTGTTCCCCTTCACCCATAGATGCTTTATGCCAAAATTGGTTGAGTGGTTGCAGAGAAGAAGCTAAAAATGTTCAAATGTTAACACACTACAAATGACACACACCACACGAGGACCAACAAAAAGAGATAACATATGTCAACTGAGTTTACTCAGGTGACTTAAAAAATCCTTATCTAACAACATTTGATTGAGAATGTTGATGGACACATTTTTTAAGAAAGTTTACTATTTTTAGTGGTCCCTGTTATGATTGACACTTTAGACTGCAAAGGGGTAGAAAATTCTTTGTTTGCCTCACTATAACAAAGTTACATGACTTACATTTGAAGCAGGGATATTCACTTCACACCATCTTCCATCAATCATGTGTCGCTGTGACAGACACTTGGCTTGTGCTTCTAAGTCAGCAAACCTCACAAAACCAAACCCCTTAGACTGTCCAGTTTTGCCATCTCTTTTCACCTATTTAATAAATGAAGTTATTTTCATCATTTTCATTCACAGTTTTTAAACTTTGAAAATGACTACTTGTAGGATAACGAGAACTTACTTTTTTCTATGTACTGAGAAATCACTAATTTTCATAGGGGTTTAATTTTTGTAGGATAACGAGAACTTACTTTTTTCTATGTACTGAGAAATCACTAATTTTCATAGGGGTTTAATTTTTTGTTGCTTTCAGGGTATGTGGAAACACAATTAAGTTGTAAAATTTCATATGCATTACTACTTATTATTTTCCAACCATGAAATAAAATCCCCATAAACCCAATATTTTTTTCTCAAACCTCGAAAATTTGCCCCAAGGAAAATATGTGATTTTACAGTAATTAAGTACAGCTCCGTCGTAAAATCATGCAAAGGGTGATATATGAGGGTTCTCAGAATTTGAAGATTTTCCACATATAGTTTTCCCTTGCACTATGAACCATGTATGTAAAATAAAAAATGTTTTGGTTCATGGTTAATATGGAAACATGGGTAAAGAAATTTCCCTAGCAACCAGCCAATTTTCAGCTTGGATGGATGAAAAAATTCCTTATCTTTGGGGCACTAAATAAATGTAATTACTAGAGAAATTTCTTTTTTATTGCTTTTATTCTCAAGATAAGCTTCTTAAGTGCTTTCACAATAAAAAACATAGAAATAAGATTTAAGATATTTGTATGATAGATATGGGTATATATACATGTTTTTCCTTTTTTGCTGACTCAGCAATTTCCTTGATTTTGAGACAGATGCACATTTATCATGTTTATGATTTCATTAAGATTTTTCGGTGTCGAATTACTCAAATGATGGACCTGATACAGACATTGTGTGTATATAATGTAAAAGCAGAGGACTTGTTCTTTTAGAATTTGAATTCAGAAGCATATAATTTTTTCAACTTCCTATCCTTTACCTAGCAACAAAAATGGATGTTTTTATGAATAAAAAGAGAAAATATGTAAAATCCTGAAATAATAACCCGCATAACTTCTTATTTTTAAATTCTGAAAACAAATTTTACAAGAAAATAAATTTTTGAGACTTTTCTGCAAATTAGGGAACATTTACAATTTCATATCTCCATGGTAACAGCAATTTCTCCTTAGCAACACATCATAAAATGATAATTTTAGCTCATTCATGTACAATTCTTAAAGATTCTTCAATCATTTTGTAAAAACTGAATCAGGCAGATTTAAAGAAAGCAATTAGCATCTTATTCAATTCTTTTTATTCCTGATAATCCCATGGCAATGATTTTCACGTTTCAATTTCTTCTCGAGAAACACTTGGCCAATTTTAAGCAAAGTTAGCACAAGACATCTTTTGGGGAAAATGGTTAAAAATGAAGGGAAAGCCACCTTACAGGGGAGACAGAGTTTCCGAAAACCAAATATTTCTATCAGTCATTCGGACTGATGACTTAATGTGTTCTACCAGTCCGAAGCATATTCTATCAGTCCGAATAAATTTTAAAATATACAGTGTATATTTCGTGTCAGATGTAATTCAAAGAAAATGGCATATATTGAGTATGTTAAAAATTTTGTGGCTCACAAACACTGATTGTGATACCAGGGTTATGCAACTATGCTTAATTCAAGCATGACACCAGCTCACACAGGCTTGTGGCAGCAATAAAGTCACTAGCCCCAAGTAAATGTTGGGGGAAAGAAACAACTAAAAATGGTTAATTCTTGAAAAAGAAAACTTCTCAAGGTTTCTAGTCTTCTAGAATTCTTTTTAAAATTTAAAGTTTAATTCTCACTTGTAAAATTGAATCATATATAAATAGCAGTTATGATAGAAATTCAAAATAAAAATAAATTTTAAATTATCTTTACGTTTTCTCAGTGGGCATTGCACTTCATGACCTATATACAGCATGTGTTTACCAATAACAGAGGAATGGAGGAAATTCGGATTAGGAAAAAACGATCGTTTTTGGAAGTAAATAAGTCAAGTAGAACTGCAAAATGGATAAGATTATAGATATTTACGAAGAATAGGTGCTTGCTGCATTGAAAATTTTCATTTATAAAGATATTACAATAGATTAGAGTACAATGAATTAATCAGGACAAGCCCTCACCACAATCCGTCACACGGACCGGTACTGTAGCGAATTTCATCGGACATTTCGATTTTCTATCGGTTTTGCCGGTAGGACCGATAGTTTTCGGAAACTCTGAGGGGAGATAATCTTGAAAAGACAAAAATTGCTGGGGTCATTAAAAAAAATCTTCTCTAAAAAAAAAAAACAACTGGGCTGAAACTTGTACTGAAGCCACCTGGGGTTGTGTCATTTTTAAATTGTCCATATCAACCCCCACACCCTCCCCCACTTTGAGGGAGGGGGTTGGGGCACATTTGGGAAAAGATTTTTACAATTAAAGACTCAGGTGTCTTAAAAATATACTGATTGAGCATCTACTTATCTTAGTTTTCATTTCAAAGAGTTTCATTGTAACATTTGCAGCCATTCTTGAGAAGAAGATTGTACAGAGCTCTTGTATTTTTAATCGGTCAAAGCATGTTTTGAAAATCTAGATGTTGTGATTTTAACTCCCTATAAATTTATATTTTTCAATTAGTGACATTCAGTTTTTTTGATCAGTATTTGCATTAAATATTCAAGTTTTAGAAAAACATGCATTTTTTGAAAAATAAACAGCAGTTCAAGAATTATAAGCTACAAGTTTGGACTTACTTGAACTTGGCAATCTACAAGTAACCTGTGTAAGAGGATGCCTGTAGAAATTCGTCATTAACAAAAGTGATGACATTATGCACAGATTTCTGGTGCTACACATACATGTAGGCATACACGTTGGTTTGCTACACCTCTCTATTAATTCCATTGGAACAAGAAAATTATAAGAAACTTAGAAAAAAAGAAGTGTTCCTAAACCTCATTTTGGAGAAATAATCATAATAATATGTGATTTTACAGTAATTACCCCTGCGAAATGATATTCATGATTTTAAGAACCTTTATGAGTTGTTCATAATTGTTCATGAATGGTTCTTAAAGGATTCTTAACAGGTTCATAAAAGTAGTTCATGAATAAAATTCATGAAAACATTCATAATTCATAGTTCATGAACAAATGATGAACAAATATGAATATTGGTAATTTTCAGTTTAAAGAAAAAACTTAATAGTTCAAGGTAATGAATGTTCATGAATTTTCATGAAGACTAAAAATGTAAAAATTATTGTCACAAACAATCGCCAGAAAACACTCATTACTCCCATAATACAACTTTTGTGTGCATATGCAACTGTTGAACAAGCCCCTGATTTAATTAATAACTTGCTTTTGTTTTGATTTTGAAAGTATGGCATCATAAGAGGTTAAAATCACTATTTTCTACTCTATGTAATTGATAACTTAGATTCTTCAGGATAATAAAACTCTGTTATGAATTGTCTAGAAGGGAGATTGTAATTAAATTATGATTAATTTATAAAACACTGCATCAATATTGACAGCATTTTTTTCTCATATTGAATTACTAATGTTTCTTCATCATTTAAATTCACAGGCCAGCTATATTAATATTGTGCTTTAAATTATCTCATTTTTCACGACACAACTTTGCTCGACCGAATTTTCTCTATTTGTCAAACTTTTAACAAGTTGTAAGAAAATGAAACAGACTTACAGTATAGGAAAAATTTCATAATCTTTGTGAAAATGTATCATAAATTTATTGACAACTAAAAAATTATATCTCTTGTCCGTACTGTACCGTACCATTCTTGGGTCGAAAAGCTTTATATTTTGATGCAGTTATAAAGTCACATTTTTCTGTCCATCGTGTGTAAATGATACAGCACAGGCTGCATGGTTGTGAAGAAGCTATGACATGAACCACATTCGTATTTTGTAGTCTATTCTCCTATACACTTTCATAGCTCAGGGTACTCAGTTTGAGGGCGAGTGGTTCAAAGAGATATTTGTTGTCCTCTGATATGGAGGCGGCCATACTTGAATACGAAACTATGGCTCTACAGGTATAATGTAAAAAAAATCCAGTTCAATAAATGATATAACTTATATTAATTTAAAAAAATTAATTTCAGTGAAAAATCATTCAGATAGTGTTTGTTATTTTTTGTTTAACAAAAATCTTGGCAATTCGAAACTATTTCTTAATTAGCTCTGCATGACACTTTTTAAAAGGCGCAAACTTTGAAACGCGCGAGACGTTGGAAAGTGAATCGGTAGAGTGGGAGAATTATTAGCGTAGATCTAGTCATTCTTTGTCAACCTTTGAAGAAAATAACCGAATACGAAGAAGGAATATCCAGAGGATCAATTTACTTCATAACTGCAGATATTAGTGGTGATCGAGTTACAAAAAAATAAAGGCAATCGCTGAATCTGTGAGATATTTGTCAAGATGTTACTATCTATTTGTAAGAGTTCAGTTTTGTCCTTTTTAATGAAAATTTTGTCAAACTTTGTTATGAGTAAGGATCCAACCAAATTACATTACATTTAATTATTAAAGATCGAAACATTCGTCCTGTTCACCTATAACATCTTGAACATGGCGGGCAAGGGAAACAGGCTAAACTCCCGCTCGGAATGCTTTAAGATATGGCAGTGCCTATGATGCAGAATTAATTGAAACAAATATGCAACAACAAAAAAACAATTAAGTCTTAGGTTTTCACATTTATGAGCATTTTCAGAAAATCTTTGTTCTTGTAGGGAAAAGAGAAGCAGTTCACAGATAATGTTGATGAGTTGAGATCAGAAGATTAAAAAACTCTGGCTGCCCAAAAAAAAAAGAATATAAAAAAATCCTGGCTCTTGAGGAAAAAAAAAAAAGGGAATGAAAATATGAATCGTAATCGATCAAAGGATCCAAGTGATGAAATTCTGAAAATTCCACACTCCTGGGAAAGCCAATAAGATTTTTTTATTTGACCACCTCTGCTCAAAATCCTTGAAAGC